GGCTGTGAATCCTGGAGAATCACGAGGACCCTGAGCCCTTCATGCACAGAAGTTACGTCACATTGTGCTTCTGACTAGTTTTTCCTCATAAGCAGGCGACAAGCTGCTCAGGGAAGGTGAGGAAACAGGGCAGTGCTTCAGCCTGGCTTTAATCCTCCCTGTCCTCCTCCTGCTGTGCTTGCCTCTGGCAACACAGGCAGATGTGCAGGATTGTTTTGGGAAACAGAGGTGGGAGCCCGGCAGGGCTGGGCTGGTCCTATGGAGTCTACGAAGCCCTGCTCTGCTCTTTGGGTGCTGTGGGGCTGAGGCAGTGCCAGCAGTGCTGGCTCCTGGGGCTTCCTGGGCTGGGGTAAGGCCTCTGCAGAGCAGGACGGCGGGAGGAACATCCAGGGGAAATATGACAAGGGGGAAAAGATGGAGGCGTGGTTTGCCTGGTTTTCTCCTCACCCCAAGAAGAAGCAGGCATGCAATGATCATTTCATTCCACAGCTAGAAGCCAGGAATGGCACTTGGGGGCTGACCAAGGAATGGGATGTGCAGATGAGGAGGCGTGAGTTGTTTGGAGAGAGTCAAAAACACTCCCAGAGAGCGACAGTAACTTCCCAAGGTTGTTGGTTCTCCTAAGGCAGCACAGTGGCTGCTGGACAAACCCTCCCACACACCCTCATCCCACCTCTGCCAGGGCTGGTGCCTCTCTCGTGTGGCTGTAACAGTGTTTTACTTGTCACTTGTACTCACCTGGGTCAGTTCATTGCTCTGATCTAGTTTGTGGCCACCCCACTGTTAGCAGCTGAACACTTGCCAGTAAATGATTTTTCTTTTTAGCTCTTTTAAATGCTGGGCTCTGACTGTCCGCAGGTGTTTGAGCCCTGCCAGTGCCAGCCTGGGCTGGGTTTGTTCAGCTGAATCCACGGCTGCTGAATTAAATCTTCCATGTACCCGGGCTCTTGAAAGGCCGCAGTGAAATGCTTCAGATCATGTGCTCCTTGGTTTTTATCATGAATTTTAAGGGTATGCTCTGAACCTTTTCCTGACTTAGGTTTTGAGTTTCCAGCAGGTATGAGATTAATGAGATCAAATTCAGAGCTACATCTTCTGCCTAACTAGATGAAATCTTAGACAGTATCATTTACTGTGAGCTTAATGGACAGGTAGAGTCAGTGTAACCCTCTCCTGTCCAACCAAAAAGGGAAAAAATGCCCACCCAGAAAACAAGTAAATAAAAAAAAATCTTGTAATCAATGTGAAAACTGCTCCTTACGGCCATTCCTTCCCAAAACTTTTGCCACACAAAACTCCTAAATACCCTATTCTGGACACTGTTGGTTTAATGAAAGATGTAGCTCTTTGGTAGCTTTGCTACAAGACTTGTCACAGCACTGGGTGCTGTGGGTGGCTGCCAGGGTGCGACCTTTCTGCCTAGGTGCCATTACTACAAGCAGCATAGCTTGAAAATGAATTTTTTAAAACTTGGGCTGTTTCCAAATGAGGCACATGGTGTTAATAACCCTCATCTTCATTACTGGGGGCGGGGGGCAGAGCTTTAAAGCAGTGATAATAAAACCTTATTTTAACTCCTTGATTTTTTGAAAAATGTGAAGTTTGGGGAGAAGTGTCTGTAAGTGTGGATGCTTACTTACCTGACTTCAGGAAGCAGCTGGCCAAAGCCTTTAGCATGAGGCCAAAGGAGCTGTAGGACTTTGCTTACTCCATGGCTGAAGAGGACCCTAATTCATTGCTCTTGTGGTGAGCTGGTTGGCCCCTTCCCATGCCCAGATGTGTGCTAGTGCTGTACTGAGTCTCAGGCACAGATATCTCAAGATAACGCTTAAACTGGGGTGGATGGTGGTGGGGCCTAAGGGAAAATCCTGAGCATGACAAGCAGCATGCGGGAACTCTGTTTATCAGCTGGGAAAGGAGACCCCAGGCTGCAGCAGCAGAGCTTTCCTGAGAGTTCAGCAGTATTATTAAACTTTAGAGGGAAATTCTAAGATTGACAGGGAGGGTAAGAACTAGCTTAAACATTAGTGATACTCTATACACTAAGAAAAACCTACTAAGAATACATGCTAATGGTTTACGTAGCTTTTTAGCTATGAATTTCCAGATATAGTGCACATCTAGTTATTTAACCCGAGAAGGAAATATTCTTAGAATATTTCTTAGAATATTAGAATCACAGTATGAAAAGGACCTCTAGAGATCATCTAGTACAGCCCCCCTGCCAGAGCAGGATCACCTACAGTAGATCGCACAGGAACGTGTCCAGGTGGGTTTTGAATGTCTCTGGAGAAGGAGACTCCACAACCTCTCTGGGCAGCCTGTGCCAGGGCTCTGTCACCCTCACAGTAAAGAAGTTTTTCCTCATGCTGAGGTGGAACTTCCTGTGTTCTGACTTAAACCCATTATTCCTTGTTCTGTTACTGGGCACCAGTGAGAAGAGATTGTCCTCTTCCCCTTGACACCCACCCCTCAAGACTTGTGGACTATTCTAAACAATTGTGGATAGTTACTGAATTTTTTTAGCACCGTGAGACCTGAAGCAGTCTCTGACCCTTGCCAGCACATCATCATGTTCTTTTATGGAAGCTGAACAAACCTACCCTGTAGAGCACCGCGTCCAGCAACCTGAGGTTTTCATTGCATCAGGACTTTCCTTGCTGCTTCATGGCCTGGCTTCAGCCTTTCAGCTGCTGTGTTTTACAGAGAGCAGCACTCGCCGGTCAGGACTCGGGGCAGTAGCTGCGATTTCCAAATGCTGGAGGTTATTTCCAGACCCATTCAGCAGCACAGGGAAAGCTCTGTTCGGGCAACCGCTTGCTTCGCACTGGATGTGTTTCTGCTCACAAAAACCTGGCAGCTTCCTGCTTTGCTCCTTAGCTGACTCTCAAGCTTGATGAACACATCACTAGTACAGCTGATGGCTTCAAATTATAGCACTTATTTTAGGGCCAAACCTGAGCTTTTAACTATTTTGTCAGGCCTACTTTCACCCGTCACAAGGGCTTTCACCCCTGGCCTGAGGGCCTTTGGTTTCCGACTACAGGGAGAGGAGGGCACAGGGCAGGGTTCACCACAGCCTCTCCTCCCCTGGAAGAACTGGGCTGTGCTCCCGCTCCGTCCCCTTCCGAAATGCCAAGGCCTGCCGCGCACAAACATCTGTTGTTGCTGGAAGTCTCAAAAGTCCTACGAGAAGAACCTTCTTAAACTATAAACCTAAACTTTGTCCTCCGCAGCGCAGGTCAAAGTACCAAGTGAGTATCTGATGTATGTGCCAAAAGTGCAGTTAAACACCTCGTAGGATCAGCCACTTGATTTCCAAACATCCTCTTGCCTTTTTATGTAGCTTTTTATTGTGCTTTAACTGTCTTCTATTTGCACAGTGAAAACGTGACAACCGAGTGTCTCACCTAAGCACTCTTTAGTCATAGTGCTGCGGTCTTTATTGATACCAGAGATTAAAAGAACAGAACACACCAAGACGTCTTACACAAGTCTATATAAAAATAGACTATTTCACACGCTCTTATGAAAAAATGCTGCCCATTGTTTATCGTCTCTATAAATGGGTAAATGTGGATGTTTTCTATGATTAAAGTGCCCTAAATTAACTTCTGTCATGCAGTATACATCTGAAAGTTTATTTTTAAATTGATGTTTCCTCTACAAAATATAGCAAAACGATATTTTTGTTTAAGGAAATCTGCTAAAAAGACTCTGAATTTCTTGATTTTTAACTCTATTGACATAAAGAATTGAGCATATTTAATAGAAGGAAAGCAACAAATAGTAAGCATTGCTGGGAAATATACGAAACAAAAAGGCTCCCTCCCTCTTCATTAAGCCTTCTTGAGCAATCTTCCCTATCCCAAATTTTCTACGGAACTGTATCCAGGAGGCAGATGCCTCTGCCCTCCAGCTGAAGGATCCATTTGAGACTGGTGCCAGCAGCACCCCCCGGCGAGACCGGGACTGCCCCATCACCACAGAAGTGAGCGGGAAAGCACTGTGGGCAGCCAAAGGGCAAAACCTCACTTTTTATTACACCTTTTACAATAGTTTCCACTTGGGCTTTTAATAATTATCTCCTGCAATGAATTCTGGGTAATTACAATAGCCAGATTTTACAGAACTCTCTCTCCCTCCCTTGTTGTTGGCGCCGCACTGCGCTTGCCACCAAGGTTGCCTGAAAAGCGGCTGCCAGGATGGAAGAGCCCAGAGTCTGGCACAACGTCCCCACCTGGGGCACCGGGAGCTGCCACAGGGCAGTTCCTGAGCAAGAAGCTCCACGGGCTCCGCTGCATCGGCAGCAGCTACTTTTGGCTTCGGCTAAACAAATAATGTGGAATTAACAGAACGTGAGCAGCGTAGACTTCTAAAGGGCAAAGATAACAGAGTGTAACCTCTAATTGTTAAAAAACAATCTGCTGGAACGGTCTCATCATTACTACCTCATTATCCAGTAATGAAATAACCATCCAGACTGTTAGAAGCTTTAGGTGGTGTGTAGAGCTAAAAGCTGTTTTCTGTTTAGTTTTACCACGTGCTTCACTGTTTCTATTGATATGAAAATCTTCTAGGTTTAATTACAGATACGGTATGTCTGCAGAATGGTTTCAGCTGATTGTCATCAAGGTCTCTGCAAAAGACAAAAGCAGGCTTTCACTACAAGGATGCCTACAAGTTCACAGAGTAGGAATTTGTGCTTTCCTTGGAGAGATCTCAGTGCCTTTCAAAGAAGTCTTCATTCTCTGCAGCCTCTCCTGACCTTTCTACATTGATTTTAACACAAAGACAGAACCATAAAAACAACAAAAAACGTTTGAATACAGCTTTAATAGAAAAAAAGTTATTTTCCATACTAGTCAAGTTAATCAATGATGATAAAAGTGCTTGAGAGTAGTTTTTTTTTATCTTTATGGCCTTAAAATTCTGATCTGGCTGCCGCTGTGTGTTGGGGAATTCTCCTTCTGGCAGACCAAGCTTTAGAGAGCAGTCTCTCACATCCAGGGTTCCCATCCTTCCCAGACTCTGCCAAGAACGTTGGGGTCTGTTGCTTGATCGATCAGGCATCTCACTTGGGTCTCTTCTGAAAGTCCACCCTGTGGCTCTCTGGCTCTGATATTATGATCAGCATTACCACGAGCTACAGCTGCAAAATCATTGTAAGAAGGTGACTTCTCATGACCCAGCCGTAGTTCATCACTAAAATTGAGAACACAGAAATAAGCTCTTACTAAAGAAACAAACAAAAAATCTGAGATGGATTTTTAAATATGAAACAGTACTTGAACACAAGTACTTGAACACAACTCACGTAGCTTTATTTTTCAAGATGTGGAGACTGTTAATAGCTGTAGAAGACTGATGATTTCAGGTGTCCTTTATGAGTGAATATTTACCATGAATATTTCAATCTTGTCAAAGAATCATAGAATAATTTAAGTTGGAAAAGACCTTTCAGATCATCGAGTCCAACGATTAATGTAGCAATACCAGATCCACCACTAGACCACGTCTCCTAAGCACCTCATCTACACGGCTTTTAAATGCTTGCAGCCATGGTGACTCAACCGCTGCCCTGGGCAGACTGTTGCAGTGTCTGACAACCCTTCTGGTGAAGAAATTTTTCCTAATATTCAATCTACATCTGCTCTGGTGCAACTTGAGGCCATTTCCTCCTGTCCTGTAGCTTGTTACTTGGGAGAAGAGACTGACCCCCACCTCGCTACAACCCATTGCAGAGAGTGATAAGGTCTCCCCTGAGCCTCCAGGCAAAACAGCTCCAGTTCCCTCAGCCGCTCCTTATAAGACTTGTTCTCCAGACCCTTCACCAGCTTTGTTGCCCTTCCCTGGACATACTCCAGCATCTCAGCGTTTTTCTTGCAGTGAGGGGCCCAAAACTGAACACAGGATTTGAGGTGTGGCCTCACAGTGCCAAGTACAGGGGGACAATCACTGCCCTGGTCCTGCTGGCCACAAGATTCCTGATACAAGCCAAAGGTCTCTAACTGAAAGAGGGATGCAGCAGTTCACGTTCAAGCTGTTACCTCCTTATCTGCCCTGCTGATTTGTGTCTGCAAGAAGTATTTTGCTGCCTTTTCCAGCTCAGCCTCGACCACAAAAGGGACTCCTCCCAAGTCCTGCACTTTTCAGTATTTATATGGTTTTAAAACAGGCTTGCTTACTTGGCCATTTTTTTTTTTTTCACTTGATTAATCCAAAACGTCTTTTCAGAAGAGGATGGAAGGGATTAATTGTACTTTAACTGAACTTTAAAGACATTCTGGCTTGAGCCAGACTTGACTAGACTGACATAAATAACCTGAGAATGCCATCAGATTTGAATTTGATGTTTTTGGGAAGCAGCTTACCTCCGTGTCTCCCCTACAGCTTGGTTCACATTCCATTTTAAGCAACTGTCCGGCAAAAGCATATTGATTTAAATACTACCCCTAGCCTAAAAGCTGTGGAGATGAACATAAAGAAAGCCTGAGGAGTGAGAAGCAGGCTTACAGGGTGAGGATGTGTGTGTTGCCAGGAACAGTAAAACTGCTCAGGAGGCCTGAGCTGGAGCAAGAACACTCACAGGCAGATATCTGCTGTTTTGGCTGGCAGGGTGATTCAGAGAGGTTGCATGTGGACCAAAATTACTCTGACAGGAGGTTTGTTGAAATTTTGCCCTGTCTGCCTCTTCTCTTTTCCTAGCTGCCATTCTGTCTCAAGGGAGCAAAATCTGACACAGGAGCCTGCCAAAGCTCTTGGTGGAGCGGCTGAAAGCAGGAGAGCATCTTACCAAGTGATTGTTGCTGGATTGGCACCTGTAAGCTTTCTTTTGACGTAGCTGACTTTTTGCAAAGGGTACCAGTTTACTTCAGCTGTGTTTATTTCCTTAATCCATGTGCCTCCTTTCTTCAGCTGTCTTTGTTCAAAGTTCTAAAGAGAAAATAAATTTGCCCCATTTATCATAAATCATATACTTAAAAAGACCTTTAAGCTGCCAGACCATAGCAAGGCAAGCCAGTAACTCTTAACTGCAGATGCAATGGAGGGCAAGTAGTGAGATGATATCTGCCTATGACTTAAATTTTAATTTACAACAGCAGTTACTGAAGTGCAATTAGTTTCAGACTTTTTTTTTAATTGTTAGTATGATATATACAGTGTGCTTACATAAATTTCAGAGGCTCAATGCAAAAAGTTGAAAATATTTACACTACTGCCCTAAGTGGCATAATGTGATTGAGCTACCCACATTCTTAGGATTGTCATGAAGAGCAGTACCCTGATAACACAGACATGTGCTACTATTCTTTGTCCATCAGTATTGAATTCTGCACTTTTAAGTTCAGCTTCTCTGAAAACTCAGTAAAACAAAGAAAGATAAACAGAGCACTGAAAGGGAGTATCAAGAAATATCTCCTTTTTCATCAGTTTTATCCTTATCACAGCTTAAAAATTTCTCACATGAAGAAAAAGGAAGGAAGAGGGAAAACCCTACCTTCCAGTCCAAAGAAGGCTCTTTTACAAATACATCCATTGTGCTGATGAGGAGATCTGGATCTGCACGATACGCCCTTAGGGCGTGCACCATCACACTGTAAATGAGACCCCACTCTCTCACTGGCATCATCAGATTAACAAACTGGCGAGTCAGACGAAAAGGCATCAGCTCTGGCACGCCCAAAAACTAGAAGGACAGTCAAAAGAATACAAGAATTGAGAAGCCTTGCAACAGGAGGATTAGAAATAAATATTCTGTTCTTTTTAAGCTTTGAAAGCTTGTTTGTCACTTAACTGAAAATGACGTGCAACACAGTAGAGCAAGACCAAGTCGTGACACCAAAGCTCAAGTCATGAATGTTTAGTGATAGTGGTTGAAAGCACGGCTTAACTATACAAAACGCCACCATATAGACCCTGTGAACCCCGAGAGCTCCTGCTTGTCTGAGAATAATTGGAACCAGAAATTTTATTCTCTTAACTAGAAATAACTTGTAAAGATTATTTTGTATCAGAATGATGGCAAATAAGGAGCATCGAATTTAGTACTGAGAAAACACGTTTAATCACACGTACGAAATGCAAAAGCTGTAACAAATTAATTAGAAAACAAATACCTGTGTAGCTAAGCCAAACGCACATCCGAAGTCTATTCCCACCATGCCACCTGTTTCCTTGTTAATCATGAAGTTGGACAGATGCCTGTCTCCAATTCCAAGTATCCAGTGGCTGATGCACATCAGGGCATGAGAGCTGGCAAAATGGGACCGCAGAGACAGGAAGGCTTCAGGAGATGTACTCATTTTCACAAAGGCTCGCCTGAACGAAACACAAGTCACTCGCTGCACACAGGCAGAACACTAACATTTGTTTCACCACGTGCGGTCAGTAACAGCGCACTTACCGCAGCAGGTCTTCTGGAACGCTGCTTTCCCTGCTTTTGAAGGACCTAACTGTTTCTGTACGGTTAGCATTTCTGGAAATTAACAGAGGAATAATGTCAGCTATTGAAATAAGAACCCACTGGATGTAAAAATTGAAGATGTGTATGTGACTGCATTAGCACATTTTGCTCACCCCAGTGAACAGTACAGCAAGCCCAAAATTTTTTATCTGGTATTAAAAACACCCCTTCCTCTCTTTTTCTCCCAACAGGTATTTCCAAGACTGACATTTCTCAATACAAAGCAGTATGTAGAGCTTTGTCCTTTCCCTCAAGGGGAGGCATCAGAAGTAAACAGCTGGTGCTGAGGACATCCATGCTGCACACATTTGGGGAGGGAGGGTGACTGCTCTGGCCTAGCCCGTGTCTGGTCCTGGGAACGGAGCAGTGCTGAGCTGTGAGGATGCACTGGCTGCTCTTCCGGGCTAGTTTCGTCTGAAAGGAACAGAGTTGCACACTGGAGGACAGCTCTTCAATGCAAGACAGTGTGAGGTGAGCAGGGGCGATTGGGAATTTACCTCAAAGGCACATTCCAGATCTGAACACAAGTATTAATAGGGATGCACCCAGTTAAACAAGTCAAAGTTTTCCTTTAAAAAAGCAAGACGCTTGCTTAAGCAAGCTATGAGCTGATCAGAGATGCTCCACAGGAAACTTCACTTCCTCCAGGCTACAGTGCTAGATCCTGGCAGGTGTGGAACTTCCTCTGAGGGGATGCTTAAGTTGGGACCCAAACCATCAAATATTCTTAAATTCTCAGTGAATCACAGTGGTCCAACAGATGCTCTGGCTGTAAGGCAGCCTACCTAACTGCATAATAAGGAAAACAACACCTAAAAAATAAAGTTGAAGAGGAGCATCTGCTTCTAGACACTTTCTTCAGGATGGGAGCAAGCTCCTGGAAGAGCTCCTGTGCCCTGGTGGGATTTTGGCAGTACTAAACTCCTCCTGCAGAGCACATCCAGTAAGACAAAGCAGTAAAATGGGCACAAATCAGATCTAGCCAGCAGAGCACACTTTTTCCCGGAATTTCTACAACGCTAAGTGCCCACTCTAGTATCTCTATTTTACACGCAGTTGTCTTTTAAACACCTACCTGTACATAACATGGTATCGAGAGATGCCTTGTGCTTTCCCACCCATCTTGGAGAGCCACTCAGAATAGGTAGCACGAGGTCCCTTTTTGCTAGAGGCGACAAAAAAAAAAAAGGCAAAAAAAAGCACTGATGATTTCCCTGTATTCTCTTACCACTCTGCACTGTGGTACTGCAGGTTGTGTGCTGCTATGACCCATGAGATTTTTATGCACAGAGGAGCCAGGAAGCTACAGCCTACACTATTTTTGTCTTGTTATGGAAATGAAGTTTATGCAGTCTGTGCACATGCTTACCCATCCATCTCCTTCCCTCCAGCTTTGAATGCACTTCAGTCATCTTTGACAGAAGATTAGACATCTCAAAGGTATTAATTTGTCAATAGGTACTGTGAAAATTAGATGCTGCCTTGAGAAGAAAGACCCAAAATAATTTCTCCAGTGAGGGAAATGTATTTTTAACACAGTCTCGTACCCACTTGAGGGGCATTATGTAGCCTACCACAGGATGTGCTGCCATTTGTCCATCCAAACAGAAGGGAATGCAGGAAGGCAGCCCGCTCTCTCCTCACCATGTACAAGAGGGGAGGAACACGATTTTGGACTTCAGGTATTAATCCATAAGAAGCCAGTCTTCATTAGTTGCACTGCTTATAGAATAATTTGATATTTCTCTCCCATCTTAAGAAGTATCTGTCATTTATAGACTGCGTAACCCATCACTTTGGGAGAAAGAAAACAATTTCAAAACTTCAGAAAGTTATTCTCCTCACCCCAACCAAAACATTGCTAACGAGGATTTAATCCGAGTTTTCCTTTGTGAGTTCTGTTATTCAACCATAGCTCAATAGAAGGTATTTTAATTGATCTGATGGAATAATATATGAGAATATATTTAAAGTATATGCAAAATAATAAAATAAAGCTATTTTGGGGTATAAATCATGAATTGTTTTTAGAAAGACACTGAACTTCTACATTTAGCATACTAGAAATTTTCTCCTCCCACAAGGTGGTTCTATATGTGAGTCCTCCCCCACTTTCCCAGTCAATAAATCGAGATCAACACAATGCCCTGCTGTTCGCAGCAGTGAACCAGACAGCAGTAATGCAGGAACTGCAGCGCTTCCTAAACTGCTCCCAAATCAAATAACTGCAGAAATAAAGACTCCTTGGAGTCCAACCTCTACGCTGGCTGTTCCTCCAACCTGCCCCATAAACAAGTGAACTAGTGAAAATAAATGGTGACAACAACACTTTGATAAACCCAAACACAAATTATGTACAAAGAACAACATTGGTAAATAATATCACTTTTCTAAATTCCAGGATAAAACCAGGCTGAAATGCTAGAATTGAATGAGTTTTACAAATACTCATTCTCCAACTGCACTCAAGAGCAAACCAGCTGATTTATTCAAGCCCAGCATTTGTATAAAGTCAGAGAGAGTGTTCTTTTACAGTTGTGTTTTGCGCATCTGCTGCCAATTTCCCCCGTCACTGACTCGCCGATGAAGCCAGGTTCTGAACAGCTCTGTCTCTGCTCTGTTCCCCTCTCCACCGACCCATTCCCCGCCTCTTTGCTGACCTAAGTCCATTTCCTGCCTGATCAAATCAAGAGATCAAAATCCTTTGCTTGTAAAATCAATTTGCTGATAAGGAAAGGGTGATGATAGTGACGTCACACATGATTATAAGCCTCTTGTTTAAACAAGCTGGGTGGAGGATATTCTAGGTACAATGGTACTTATTAAACAAACAGTTAGCAATTACTAATTTGGGTCAGGAAGTACAAACTGCCTCCTTTCTTACAGGTGCTTTTATTTCATTCTTTTTGAAAAAAGAAAATGCTGCCACAAAATTGTCAATGGCCTCTGTTAAAGCAGAGGTCAGGCATCATCACCTGTTATAGTTGAGATCTTCCTCTTCAGACATGCTATTCCTAAGGAATTCTTTTAAAGTACAAGTATTTTCCAGCCACTTGATGAGTCCCAGTCTGAAATGCAAGAAGTCAGAGATGCGAACAAGTAGCTCAGAGATGAACTTTAGAGGAACACCACAAATAGGAAGCAACACGTTCAGTGCCTGCTAAAGGAGGGTTGAAAGCTATCAATTTAAATATGTTCTGAAAAACAGCTTCCAGACAAAGTAAATGCTATGTTGTTTAAAAAGAAAAGAGAGAGAAAATTAAGCCAAGACAGAAAACACTCTGAACAAGAATCTCACACGCAGAAATCTCACTTTCCAACATCTCAACAGTAACACATGTTAACAAAAGGATTTCTGTGCCTTCAAGATAAATGCCTACCTTGTTGTCATGGGGATGACCTGGTAAGTTTTTAGCTGCATATTTCTTTGGCTACATGTAGCATCTTGGGAAAGGATAATGTTCATTACATCAAAGAGCTGCTCAATACGTTGGTCTTGTCGCAGGTCTTCACCACCTTTGACGAGAAAAGGATATTCTTGTTCATCGCTACCTCGGATCGTTATACGTTTTGGCTTCCTCAAGGACTCCATTACTCTTATCTTGGAAAAAGACAAAAAAAAAGCAAAATATTTGTGACAGAACCTTGGCCTTACAGAATCATCACTGAAATTAAACATATCTGTCATTCCTGCATGATATAATCAGGTTGCTCAATTACTACCAGAAAAGCAAATGCCCACTTGCAGACCTTCCTTAATGTGCTGCAAGATGTGCACACAAGCAACAACATTGCTATTGTCGAATTCTTCAAATGGAATATGGACACAAGTTTATACTACACAGGACTTCGGCTCAAAATCAAAACCATACCCGCTCATCGAATCCAGAGATTTTTGCGTGGTACTCGGGCAGTGGTTTCCCCTTTCCATCATACTGACCTGAAGTGATAGTGGAAAAAAATTAAAGAAAAAAAATTACATAGACTGATTATAAATCTTTTTTTAAACTGTGTTTAGGAATCAAACAGGCTTCCACATATTTTCTCAAACTGGCAGAATGGTAACTCTTTTTTTAAACTGTGTTTAGGAACCAAACACGCTTCCAAATATTTTCTCAAATTCGTGGAATGATAACTATGAAGAAAATATTTTAAAATGTATAAAAAACCATCACACACATCATGTGATTTTATCTGTGAATTACTAATATTCTTTCCTTTTTAAGCTGTTACAATTGCAGCTCTTAACGGTTTCAGAGAATGTGTCCTTTCTGAACTAGAATTAAACATGTATTAGATTTATATATCAGAGTTTCTGGAGTCAAATCAGACCTTTAAAAAAAATTACTAAATTCTTGGGCAAGAGATAAGATTTTAGATACAATTTTGAAAATCAGGACTTCAGCTTAAGAATAAATTTAAGAGATGATGAATAAACCGATTTAGTTCAGATGAAATCTACGTCTGCACAAGGTGAGAAAGAAGGGTCGTACAGCCAACCTAAGAAGCAGAGCTCAAGAATAGCAACTTTCTTGTAAGGGACAGTTCACTATTGACACTGGACGGGAACTTACCAGGAACCTCTAGTTCGTTCCTCAAGAACTCAGCCTTGAATTCACTCATCCATGGTGAACATTCTCTCAGGTTTCCGGGTTCTTTATGGGTTTTGGTCATTTTTGAGAGCAGAGAAGTTGTAATCGCATCAAAGTCACCAGCCTTCATACCCAACAGTTCTGAACCGCCTTTTCCAAAATGATGGTCAAAGTCCTTCCCAAAAGCCTGAGATGGATTTGTTAGAAAGAATCCTGTTAACATTGTGCTATGAACTCTCCGAAAACACCAGAAGGGTATCTTCATATAGGCACACATAGAGCTTCATCTGAGCTCCTAAAATATATCAATCTTCCTTCCACTCCAGCTCTTTTTTCCTCCATTATTTTCAGTCTGTCAGAACCTTTTCACTGCCTGTTTGGTAGAAACACCACCTACCATCAACAGAAATGTCTACATTTTACCAACTTACTGACACCAAAGATTTGTAGAATTAGATCTTTTTGCCATGTCAAAACGAGAAGCTTATCCCTTTTTACCTCCTCTAGCTGCAGTTGGATTCTGGGCGAGCATATCAATAACATTGCTCATTAAGAACAGGTAGTGAAATATCAGTAACACTGCTCATTAGGAACAGGTAGTGAAATATTAATATAATATACAAATATTTAAATTTGTATCTATTAAACAAATTCCATTATGAATCTAAATATAGGATTATAATGAGAACATTTAATTGACGTCCCAATCTTTAAATGTTATCACACTTCCAAATTGCTGCAACAAAACCCACAACTGTTTGACTTACAAATGGTAAAAAACCCCACAAACAAATCCACACAAGTTAGTTAATATTTTTCCCCCTTGAATATAAATATTCTGTGCTTTATAGAAGGTTTGGGATTTTTGTTGGATTTTGGGTTTGTTTTTTTCTATTGTTCTTTTTAAACTAGGAGCAAATACAGCCTAGCTAATTTAATATATACCTTCTTTGCTAATCAAAAGATATACTACATTGATTCGTAATGCATGTCATAGAGCTTCATGTATTAAGGGAATCTTTTGTTATTTGTTCATGTATTAAGGGAATGTTTTGTTAGAAAATATCAATTTAAATTTTTTACTTGCTATCACATTTATTATTGGTGATTTGCTTTGAGTTCATTTGGATGTAATATGTATAAAACCATACTTCTATTTTAAATATCTTAATGAAGGAGAAATGCAAAGATATTTCATACTGATCCCTTTAATAAACGAAGTATTATCTGCAAGTAGTTAACTGAGTTGACTTCTAGTGTTCATAATTTAAGGTTCTAAAGAAATCATGTGTCCCTTCTTGGACCTCACTGGTATTACATGGCTTGGAAAGATGTGTAAGCTCACTTATGTTTTCAATGCCTGATCGTTTTTTTTCCCAGGCTATGAAGGACACAGCTATTTCATGGAAGCAAATGAAAATACTATCCTTCTGAAGGAGAGACTGCTACAGTCAACATCCTTATCACTTTAAATCTATTTCCAGATGACCATTTGATTGCTTTCTCTGATCTGTTCTTTGACTTCTTTTAAAATTCAAGGCAGCAAATATTTACAGCCTTAATGCTGTATTTTAATTAACACAATCCATCAACAGCATTTAATTTATGCATTACTAGAATTTCATGTTAAAAACAAATGCAGGATTCTTCTTGTTTTAAGTTACATTTGAAATTGCACATAAATAATACATGTGAAGATTACAAGCCTGAATTACCCCATGTATTAAAGCAATTTTATTTGTCTTAAGAGACACAACTTCCTGCCTGCCGTCAGCAAGGACACCAGAAACTACACAGTTATCCTCACAGCACACTTTGTTTCTTCACAAATACCACATCATGAAGGCAAAGAATTCAGCGTCTGTGCACTGTCACCCTGACCCTCTTCTCCTGCTCATGCCAGCATGTGACAGGAATACTGCTCTCCCTCTTCCTTTCCACTGAGGGGAACGACCCCACTGCCTCTCTTCCAGCCTCTCCCTTGCTCTTCTCTCTCTGCTTGGTTAATGCAATAACAATTAAAAATCCATCAGCACTACTTGCAGCATCCTCTAGTACGGCACACGTTTCAGCTTTTTAGAGCCGTGGCTTTTTCCGTTTAAGGGGGCCAGAGTGCACACAAATTGTCCCAAAAGCCAAATGCAGGTTGCCTTTGTCCTCGTGCCCGCTAGGTCCCTCGCCATGCTGGCACCTCATATGGGTCAACCTACAGCTGCTCCCCTCCCTCCATCCCCACCCAGACAGGGACACATCCTGCAAATTCTTATCCCCCTATCCTTAAGTTTCAAGTCACTATTATCAGCGACTCAGCTTATTTTGCAGCAACATATTTAAAAGGCTAATATCCCCTAAACTCCTAATTGCCCTTTCTGTTGCTGTATCACCTCTCGTCCTCCACCTTCCCTTCTCACAGGGAAGGAATGTCCCTAGAGAGACACCTGGGCAAGTCTATCTAAGGCCAAGGTGACATAACAAGGGCCATATGGGAAAGACTCGGGCCCAGCCAGCCCTGGCCACGGGGCTATGTGCGTACAGTACAAGCACATAGCCACAGCGCTCTCCTGGCCTCCAGCAATTTGCAGCTCAGGGGTTTCTGGACCCAGAAGTGAGCATTTGTAGATAAAAGCTCTTTTGAGTGTTTTCACCCTTCCTCATGCTATTGTCTACTTGTTATTCCCATGAAAGCATCCATAATACCCTGCAGCAGGAGTTCAGAATGTTAAGTGTATATTGAATGAGGAAACACTTCTCCCTGTTTGTTTTGAACCTGCCTCTTCCACAGAATATTTACTTCGTGCTTGGCACTCCTGATCTCAAGAGCTTTATTGTATCTGGCCTCATTGTGTCTCCTCCAACTGGAGGAATGCTAAAGTTGTTTCTTACGCAGAATACTCTGTACCTGTGATTACTCTTGCCGCTCTGAACCTCGTCCAGTTTCATTATACCTATAGATGACGACTACAGCACTCAAGGAGCAAGTCAGAGAAGGCTACTATGCCAACGTACAAATCCACGTTTTGCTCTCTATTCTTAATAATGACCAACAGCTACTTTTCTTTCTTGACTTCTCTTGAGTATTCACAGCTCATAGTTTCACAGAACTATGACAAATCAAGACTTTCTTTTTGAACTGCATGTCCTGGGTTTAGCTAAAACCCAGTC